TGGGTTGGGGGTGGGGTTTTATTTTCCCTGTTTTGGGGAGGGGAAAAAAAAATTCCCCCCGGGGGGTTTGGACCCCCACCCCGGTTTTTTTTAAAGGGAGGGGTTTTTCCCCCCGGGGTTTTTTTTTTTGGGGCCCCCCCCCCCCCCCCCCCCGGGTTTTTTCGGGGTTTTTTTTTTTGGTTGGGGGGGGGACCCCGGAAATTTTTTTAGGAAAATTCCCCCCAACCCTTTTTTTTGGCCAAATTCCAAAAAATAACCAATTCCCCCCCCCCAAAGGGGCCCCCCCCCCCCCCCCCTGGGGGTTGGGTTTTTGTCGCTTGGCAACGACGTTGTAAAACAAGCCCCCCCCCCCGGTGTTTGCCATCGGGGTTGGGTTTTCGTCGCTTGGCAACGACGTTGTAAAACAAGCCGCCCCCCCCGGTGTTTGCCATCGGGGTTTGGGTTTTCGTCGCTTGGCAACGACGTTGTAAAACAAGCCAATTCACTTCGTGAACTCGGCAACCAGGTTACCGTTTTTTTTTTTTTTACCTCGTTTTTTTTTTTTTGGCGGTAACCATAATGGTGGTCGAGTAGATCATGTTGTGCGGGGTCGAGAAACCTCACTCCGCGCAACGGGGGATGATCGCACCTCGTTGTGTTAAAATGGTCAAGCTTCCTCGAGGCAGTTACACAGTGCTTACAACTGTCTCTGGAAGTGAAAGCACCAGAAAATAAATTAAGTCATACGTAGCTGTCATCCGTACGCAAGGAAGTAAGCACAAGATGCCGAACACCCTTAGCAGGATGCAGCTCACCCTTCATGCGACTCGCCAAATACCTCACGGCGCTTCGCGCTTGGTGATGTGAGAGCCTGGTCCGGTGAGAACCCGGCGTGCTCCGTCCCGGCTTTGTAGGGATGCGAGGTCAATGGTCAAACGACTACGGCATGCACGACTATGAGTACACCCCCCCAACGCTGCACCATTGCAACAATCCCCCAGTAGTGATGACGTACCATTACAATGTATCGCTGGTTGGTGGCCATGTTTACGTGTTTGCTTGTTCGTCAGCGATCTCTCCACCGTGTGCCTTTCTTCTGCCTCTTATTCCTTGTTATTTTCGGCCTGGTCCCTTTTTGTCCTCGCTCTTTTTCATTTTATTTTCATTTTATTTTCTCTTTTTCTTACTGTTTCCTTTTTACTTTATTTTTATCTTTTTTCTCTTTTTCTCTCTTTTTCTGTGCCAGATGGCCTTGTCTCTCCTTGCGTTGTGAAGTACCAAGATTGAACCAAGGGGGTGTACCTCTTTCTCTCCGGCCGGTGATAGTGACTCCTCGTCTCAGTTGATACCTCGCATAGCGCGCAGAGGGAGTGGAGGACTCCAGAATATCTGTCGTTGATTTCTATTGACTTGCGGATTCTATTGACTTGCGGATCCCTCGGGGCCAGTTTCTTTGAGTGTACCTTTTTAGGGTAAGTTAACCTGTGACCACCGGAATCGACCGCGTCGAGTGTTGGATCAGTACGGACATACGAAGGTACTGGGTAGAGAGAGATCGGAACGGTTTTTAATGTGAAGACAACAACAACAACAACCCCTCTAGAAGAGCCCCTCTCTATAGGCCTGAAAAAAATCTATCATACTTGGAATGCCAGTCTTAACCCATTTTCGCCCCCAACTTTCCACGGGGATCGCTATTGTGCCAATAAGTACTTACGCTCGCGGATAGAGCTTGTTTTTCTTTCCGACGGGTTTATTGTGCAAGATTGAACAAAGGAAATCTGGGGATTGTGGACAGCAGGAGAAGGTGCCAAGCTCGCAAAGAAATTTCGGGGAAGTTTCAGCAGGGATGAGGACGAGAAGGGTCGGTGACGGCGTATGTATGCACGCAACAGAAGCAACAACAACACAGCAGAGTTCACCTTGCGGGTGCTTCTGTGAGGCAAAAAAGCTGATAAACAAGCTGTAAGGAGAAATGCTCACAGTTTGAAGGAGTGGGAACGGGTTCGAGTTGGCCTCGGCTACATACAGAGTTAATTGATTGAGAGGAGAACGGCTGGCAAATGAACGCCTAAAGTACCAGCGAGACTTACAATCTTATACTAAATAGTCGATCACCACTATTATAGAAGACAGAGACCGAGTGAGCATCATGTACAATCTCGCTCTTACCTAATACTCAAGTATATTTTCGTAACATTATACAAGTCACCACAACTCTACATACACTGAAGAGTGTAGTAAACGTCTCACCACGAAAAATGGGGGGACTGTCGCCATAATAAACAAGTAGGACGAAAACAACAACAACAATTAATCAGCCGCCAGTGTAAAAGTCCTTGTGGTTGATGACTTGGCATTCTCAAGGCTCGTCCAAGGAGCGCCTCGATTTTCTTTGGGTGGCAGGCCGTGCGGAGATTCGCCCTGGTGCAGGTGCGAAGTCAGAGATATTTATGATTCTTCATGGTGCTCCAGCTCGGCGCGCCCTGCGAGTCTAGAGCTCGCGACACCGACTTTTTTGATGGGAAGATTGGCAAGCTCCGGTCGGGGAAGATAGTCGAAAGAGTTTACATAACGTCGTATGAAACCAATGCATCGCACAAATAGCTTAATGTCTGCACTAATGGTTGCGTTTCATGTCATTTCACAGCAATGCTGTCACTTGACTCCTCTGTGGAGTCTTGTGGTGGAGAGACTGTGGACTGACGCTCTCAAGTGGGCGAAGATCGGCGAAACAAATAGTCTAACGGCAACTACAGACTGACGTACCGCACCGAAAAAAATCATCTTGCTTTTAGAGTGCAACAATGGATGATTGAGCTCTTGGCATCTCAGACTTCAACGTTGCATCTCAGGGCTCAGACGTACGTGCAGTCAAACATATGTTAACACGCCCTTCCTTTCGTTTCGAAAAACCTTCTTTTCTTAGATAGAGATGGATTCGTTGGGTCATGTTAGGAAGATAAAAACAAAACAAAACAGAGCGAATGGTCTTGACCCCTCTTCTTTCAGAGCCAGGGCAATGACGAGCTCGTCGTTAGGTCAACCCGAACAAAGAAATAAATAACCACGACAAGTAACGGCAAATGAATGCAACCCCAATCCCGGTTTGACGCTCTCGGTCTCAGAAGAAAAGTAGCAACAAGACATTAAGAGACAGAGCACAAGACAACAAAAAAGTCAGTATTGTAAGGGTAAGGGTAAGGGTAAGGCTCTCACCGTGAGTTCAACACCCTCTTCCAAAAGAACGGTCCTGAGAGCGTTCACCGACCAGATCTCCAGATTGTGACCCCTCAGGTGCTTCGGCACGCGGCGGAACCTTAGCGACAGCGGGTAACCCTGGTAACGTCGTTGCATTGCATTGGTTGGCCGTTGGTGTTGCAGTTGCAATGGGATACAGAAGGACCGAAAGCAAGATGGACGGAGCGGGTGGATCGTATCACGGGGCGGCGGCGGCGGAATTCTGAGCAGAAAACTACTTGTGGAAAAACTCCGCAAAGAAGTGCAGAAGAAGCAGCAAGAGCGCCACATCATCACCGCCGTTGCCGCCAACGATAACAATAGCAGCAAGATCACCACCACCACTGCTGTTGCCACCAGCAACCAACAAGAACAACAATTGAGATCGCGCCAACACCTCAACAACCTCCCTCTCATTTTTTTTTGTCTATAGGGTACTGTACCCCACGGCGACTATATAGGTTCTAGTGTAGGACTGAGCACCCCTTCTTAAACTTAGATTTCATATTTTTCGAGGCTTAAGTTCTTCACTGGAAGAAAGTTCTTGACGTGGTGGCGCGCTCTGGATCGACAACAACGACGACCACTTGCCTGCGTTGTGAGCACCCTGATGGCGTCGTTGAAGCCCAAGCCCTCCAGTCGGATGCTGTTGACCGCCAGCAAGAAGTCTCCCTTCTCTATCTTACCGTCAGCCTCCGCGGTGCCCCTGCTGCCGTCCGCCCTCTTCGGGAAAGACTTCACCGTCAGCTGCCACAATAAACAAAAAATCAACCGTTAAAAGCCCGACCGAAACTAATGGGTTCAAGGATCACCACACACCGGCAAAACATGAACATATTGTACTTCAAACACAAGCAAACGGACTTGAACATATATTAAAGGGAAATGGACAAAAGTGGGTATACCCACGCCATTCTCGGACAAAAGTGGACACTCGAAAATCCGGCGAGCGCGCCCTCCATAGGCGACCCCCAAACGACTCAAAACCCCATTCTGACACCTGGGCGACACAGCCAGGGACCATACACAGCATGGGCATCGATTTTTTCCCACCTTCAGGCACACCTTTGGCCCTAATACCGCCGAGGCGCGCAAGGCCTCGCCAGAGTGCCCACTTCTGTCCGACATTGCGGTGGGTATACCCAGCGGCGTCAAAGATTTTTTTCATGTACCCACTTGTGTCTATACTATTGACCCACTTTAGTCCAAATTGTACCCACTTTTGTCCACTCAATTACGGACAGCGGAAATCGAGCGGAAATTGACCTCCACGTCACCGCACGGCAGAACATCGACTGGCCTCGGAACGTCTCAGAATCTCCCATCACCGAATCCATGGCATCTTTCCTATCCATCGCTACTGACTGCGGACCGACCGCGGGATATCGGGTCGGATTTGCACTTCGTATGTATATACATACATGTAGTGCATATGAATACCTTTAACATCACGTAGTAGTTGGGTGGTAAACTGCCTCGACCTGCTGCTGCTGCCCTCACGAGTCGGTGTGCACTCGTAGTGGTGGTCGGTGTTTTTTTGTGTGTGAGGCGCGTGTGTGTATCTATGCTGTTGCTGTATGCGCGTCTTTTTGTTCTGCATGCGCGCCCGTTGGTTTTGTTGTCCGTTGTGTGTCACGCATTTATTTGTGGCATGCCGTTAGTGCGCTGCTTGCCGGGCTTGCCGCGGGTATCTTCCGGTGCCGGTACCGAAGGGGTCTGGCATGTTTCTGACATGTTCCTCCGCGGTCGGTCCGCAGTCGGCAGCGATGGATAGGAAAGATGCCATGGATTCGGTGTTGGGAGATTCTGAGACGTTCCGAGGCCAGTCGATGTTCTACCGTGCAGTGACGTGGAAGTCAATTTCCGTTCGATTTCCGCTCGATTTCCGCTGTCCGTAAGTGGTCAAAAGTGGGTACAATTTGGTCTAAAGTGGGTCAATAATATAGACACAAGTGGGTACATGAAAAAAATCTTTGACGCCGCTGGGTATACCCACCGCAATGTCGGACAGAAGTGGGCACTCTGGCGAGGCCTTGCGCGCCTCGGCGGTATTAGGGCCAAAGGTGTGCCTGAAGGTGGGAAAAAATCGATGCCCGTGCTGTGTATGGTCCCTGGCTGTGTCGCCCAGGTGTCAGAATGGGGTTTTGAGTCGTTTGGGGGTCGCCTATGGAGGGCGCGCGCGCCGGATTTTCGAGCGTCCACTTTTGTCCGAGAATGGCGTGGGTATACCCACTTTTGTCCATTTCCCTATATTAAATACCACCGGGTACAAAAAAAGTATTACAAACTTTTATGCATGCATGCCTTGGGGGAGTCAGACTCCAGACACGGGCCAGTGATTCAGGATACAGATGTGTACATGAAATTCCGCCAGTCACCACAATTTTTATTTTCCAATCGAACGAAAAACAAGCAGAAACAACGAAAACAGTATTCAGCATTTTATGCATACAAACATAAGTTAACAATATATATCACAGGACCCAACATACGCGTTTTCCCACCCGAGCAGACAACGAAAACGCCATGCAGTATGCTACGAAGTACTCTAAACAGATAACCGGAAACATACTATTAATATAATAAACTCACCTTATTGCCCGGCTGGCTCTCCTCCAAGAGAATGTTCGGCGTGCGTCCCGGCGGGAAGACCACCTCAAACACGGTAGCCTCCGGCCCAATTGCCCCCTCAGAGTATGCCACCTCCACCATCACCATCACGCCACCACAAAAAAAAGAAAAGTAACGACGACGTCTGTTTCAACTACTCATCATCTCTATCATGGCAGTTCGCGTAGATGGGGGGCGCAAGTCGTCGAGTTCGCAAGAGGGTCGTCCCCAAGCGCGAGGGCGAAGAAAGATCTACACAAAGGACGGGACGTTGTAAGCGCACAGCTGTTGCACCGATGATATTGGCTGTTCCGTTCCTACCGTGTGTCTTTCTTGGTTTGTGACCACGATCGGGGGGGGGTCAGCTCATGGACCACGGACCGTGGGCAGAGAGGGGGGGGGGCGCAAACAAGAAGGGGTTATGGAAGGCAATGTGGCCCACAGCATAAACACGGTCTTCCGGTTCTAGGGCGAGCAAGAGCCCGTGGCAGATTGCCCTCCCTGCCTGAGAGGTACGCAGGAGGAGGCGTGTGCCATATGTACATATGCGCGTCACATATCCGTGAGCCCCTTAGTAGCCGAATAGCCACCAACACTTGCCAGCGGCGGCGATGATTGGTCCAACGAATAAAAAGAACAACATGAACCAAAACAAAAATAATGGAAAAAATCACGTGATGGTGATGTGTCAACCAACCGCACCTCTTCCTCCTCCTCTTCCTCTGCGTCACCCCCCTCTCCCTCCTCCTCGCCCGCACCCCCGTCCTCCTCCCCCTCCTCGTCGAAATCGATGAGGTTGAACGTCTTCTTCCCCGCCGACTTCGCCTTCTTCTTCTTCTTCGCTTGGGTTGCAGTTCCTCCTCCTGTTCCCGCCGCCGCCGCCGCCGCCAGTGCGGGGGCAGACTGGGGCGCCGCCTCTACGAAGCGAAGGAAGAACGCGACAATAGGGGGGGGGGGGGGGGGGGGGGGGGGGGGGGGGGGGGGGGGGGGGGGGGGGGTTTTCTCCGATGTGTTGCGTTTCGGACGCATC